ATCCTTCGTTTAGAATAGAATAAATTAATTATGGAAATGTTATAAATTATAATAGATTAAGTTATGAGAATGATGGTCGAATGTGTTTGGATGGAGTGAGTGTATTTGGATAGAGTATTATTTTGAATAATTACTATAATACTTTTTATGATGTAATGTATGTGAGTTATAATATTTTAGTTGGGAATATAAAAAAGTGGATTGGGAAATGTATTTATGATGCAAGCGAAATATTATTTGAGATAATTTAGCAATCAAAATAATAATTTATCACATATTTTTTAGAACGAGTTTTGTCTAAAAAATTCAGTACCACTTAATTAATTAATTTAGATGTTCTAGTTTTTGTTATTAAATGTGTCTAAATATGTTAAGATTTGAATCCATTAAATTTAAATATTGAATTGAGTTAACGAACATGACCTTTGTAAGAATAGAAGACGGTATTCTACCTAAATAGTAGACATAGAAAATAAATAAGAGAACGCATACATACATAATGCATGTATGTAGGTCAAATAAATACATTCAATCATTCATACATAATGCTGAAATAAATTAAACATACATGGGTCTACCAGAAATAGTCGAAATTTGAAAAAGAAACAATCAGGCAATCAAAGCAGAGCTAAGTGGAATCGACTTTGCCATTCAAATTGTCAATAATTTTTAACTTCTTTTATCATTTGACAAAATATTTATTTAGGCCAACAGTTACAGAGATGCAGTCCACAAGAACAGTCACTGGATCATTACAAGTTTGAGGCTTGAGCCAGCCAAATCAATGCCCGTTTGCCAAATGAATTTTTTTTAATGCTTAGTTAAAATTTTACTATAACTTATTATAAAAGTTGTACAAAATTTTTTTTAAGATGTAAAACTTTTTTTTCTTTTCTTTTTCTTCTTTTTCCTTTTCCTTTTCCTTTTCTTTTTCTTTTTCTTTTTCTTTTCCCTTTTCTTTCTTTTTCCTTTTCTTTCCTCTCCTCTTGTTTTCTCTCACCTCACAACGCTGGTGCCAAAACCTCTACCGGCGACCAGCGCTACAGTTTTTTCTTCTCTCTCCCCCTCTCTTTCCCTCTCTTTCCTCCTCCCTCCCTTCCACTCCCCTATCGCCCCTCCTCTCCTCCCTACCATATTTGGTCACACAAAGGGGGGAGGCAAGAGAGAGGGGTGGCGGGTTTGGTCACACAGAGAGGGAGAGGGAAGGCGGCGAGGGAGGGAGAGGGGAGAAGAGGGAGAGAGGGAGGGAGAAGGAAGGAGAAGAAGGAGAGGGAGAAAAGGAAAAGAGAGAAAGAAAGAGAGAGAGAAGCTACTTTTGTCGGCCAGGTTATCAACGCTGAAAAAGGTAAGAATGGTGGTTGTTTGAGTTGGGGAAGGAAGAAGAAGAAAGAAAAAGAAGGGAATTTTTTTTTTGTTTATTTTTGGGTATATTGAAAGTTATGAACAATTTTTTTTAGATTATTATTGATGAAGTTGTTTAAAAACTAAATACTAGACAAAAAACTTGCCTTCCAAAGGATCATGTGAAGATTCCTTTTTTTTTTCTTTTTTTGTAATTTCTTTTGGTTAAATTCAAACTGGAAGAAATGAAGAAGCGTAGGCCATCCATGAAATATGAAAATAAACTAACCAAAATGTCAACGGACAAACCAAGAAGAACTAATAGCCGTTTGGATTGCTATTTTCTGAAATTTGTTATAATATATACGGTAAATATTTTCTATTTGGATTGCTATTTTCTGAAATTTTTTATAATATATACGGTAAACAGACAAACCAAGAAGAATTATTAGCCGGTTTGGATTGCTATTTTTTAGAGTTTTTGTATAAAAATGTACTGCAGTGATTTGACACAGGTGAGATAAAAGGTGATTGAAATATACATTTATGGAGATTGTAATTTTTTTTTTAAATGGCCTTCCAAACTCACCGGGGAATCAATACTAAACGTCAAACATGTACTCAAATTAGTCAAGATGGATTAACTTTACTAACGGTGAATGCATAATAAACTTTAAACATGTACTCAAACTAGCCATGATGGATTAATTTACTGATTTACCAGTAGTGGTACATAAAAATTTTTAGGAAAAAAGGGCAATCCAAACTCACCAGAAAATCCATAACAAATGCCAAACATGTACTAAAATTAGTCCGGATGGATTAATTTACTAACCACAAAATCCTTGATAAACGTCAAACATGTATTCAAATTAGCCATGATGGATTACGGACAGTGGTAATATCGCTTAATGGATTTATGGGACACTCTTTGAACATTGATGAAATTCTTAGAAATTGCACATGCCTTGCCTTTCCACGCCAAGTCGAGGATTTTGATCCACACATTCGCAAACTTGCCTTGTTTGGATTGCTTGTTTCCGTCGAAAAATATTGTCGTTTTTCGTGATCACATTTCTCTATCATCTTTTTCCCTCACATATATCAAATCGCTACAGTAATTTTTTCATGAAAAATGACGGAAAATGCAATCCAAACACAACCTTAATTTTGATTTTGTTAAACAAATTGTGCTAGACAATTTCAAGTAAGTTTTATAATCAAATATTCTTTCATCTAGACAAAAAAAAAAAAAACGAAATGTGTTTGAGATGTATTTGGATTTGTTAAATTCCCAATCCAAACGGAACATTTGTCTGCATTATGTGCAATGCAAAAAATTTAGAAGCATACACAAATTAAGGGGTGAAAGAAAAGCCACATTAAAAAATAAAAACAAAAAAAAGAAATAATTATATTCATCTCTGTTTTTAGGCGAATTTCTCAGAATAATGTGAAAACAAGAAAACATCACAAAAGCGGTGTTGCTTGTGGTTAGATTCCACCGATTATAAAAAATTGATTTAAATTTCATATTTTTTTGTCGGAACTCTTTTTTTTTTTGCAAATGCTTCGCCGCACCTCAAATGTGGGGCGAAGCTCTTTTTTGAAAAAAGGAATCGCCACTGATTTGAGGTGCGGCGAACCTTTTATTTATTTATTTTTTATTTCTTAAAAGGACACTTAACTTTAGATCCTAAACTTGTAATCCCTAACTCTAAAACATAAGCCCTAACCCTAAAAGCCTAAAATCTAATTTACCTACAAAATTGTGCTAATTTCATAAACGGTGATTAATCATCCTATAAAATTTCGTTCAGGTTCTGATTGAAAATATAAAATTAATTTAAAATAAAATATGCCCAGGTCATCATTTTTTGAAATATTTGGTTTCAATGTTAATTTAAATAATGATGAATAATGCAATATTCAACGATAAATAGGTACAATAATTAAATAAAAACATCAATGAAAATTAAACAAGATGTTTGACAAGAAAATTCTTGAAATCTGAATATCAAATTTAAAATGTCCCCTTTGCCCTTATCACGCGAGTGGTAAAACAATCACATTCCAAAGTACCCTCCGTGTGGTACATTTTGCTGTAGCTGTAGCTATTTACACCTCCAACGTAGCGTCTGCACCCCTTCTGAATTTTGGCTCTCATCATCATCAATTGAGGGATTTACCTAACGATAAGTGCGTGCCAAAAACCACTAGCCTTTGAAAGGTTGGCGGCCACTACCTAGCTTGGTGGGGTATCTTGCCTCCCACAAAAAATGTCACATTTAAGTGGTTTGTTTCAAAAAAATTTAGACGGGTGTGTTGTGCATCCGTTTGGTCCGGTGGTGGTTCAGTCCCCTCTGAGTTATTTTTGGGCCTCCTTAGGTCCGCCTCTCCCCTTTAGTGTAGAATAAATTAGGTTATACAACTGTTGTCATCTAAAAAAAAAAAAAAGAAGATAAGTGTGTGCCAAAAGGTGGACCCCTCGATTAGATATGCAACATTTCAAATGAAAAACCCATGGCCTCAAATATTGGTCTTGTTTGGCAGTTAAGTTTTTTACCAAGTTTATCTGTTACAAATTTTTTAAAAATTCTAACTATAGTAATCTCAAAATACATTTGAAAAATTTTAAACTATATATTTTAAAATATTAAAAAAAATCTTCAAATTTTTTTTTTTAAAAACTTCTACAGTAAGATACAATAAAATTTTAGACAAATACCTAAAAAAAACTCACTTGTCAAATAGGGCCTCATTTGAGGCTAAAGATTTAAAAAATATTTTTTAGCACTTTAGATCCAGGTTTTGGGCGCACATCCGTGCGGCTTTAAGAATAAGTTTTAAAATGGGTTTTAAGAATTATAGGCTTTTAATCAAGGTTTTAAGAATTAAAATCTAGGGGTTTTATAAAAAAAACCCATAGCCTCAAATATCATTTGATGCTGATTAAAAAATAATTTTTTCCAGTACTTTAGATCACAATCGTTGATCAACGGTAAAGAGCTTTAACTGCAAATTTAATGTGCAACAATTGAAAAAGAAAAAAAATTCAACCTTCACTGCAAATTTAATTTGCGTCTATAGAATAAATAAAAAAAAAATTTCAGTTACTTTAAATTACGACTGTTGATCAAATGTATATCAACGATCCAGCAGCTTTAGCCGCAAATTAGATTTGCATCTAAAAAAAATTCAACCAAAAATAAAATATAAATCGAATTTTTTGTGTGCCACACATTTGAAGTGCAGCGAAGCATTTTAAAAAAAAAAAAAGGAGTTTCGATAGAAAAAAAATATGATATTTAAATCAATTTTTTATGAAGCCTCATTCAACATTTGCGGTGAAACTCCTTTTATTTTTGTAAAAAGGGAAAAAATAAAAAATCATTACTGCATAAAAAAATATGAAATTTAAATTAATTTTTAAAAATATGAAATTTATCAATATGAATTTTTTTAAATCAATTTTGCAGCGACTCTTAAAGTGGAATCCAACCGCAAGTAACATCACTTTTATATTAAACATGTGTTATATATCTAATGGTGAGATAGTGTGTATATTGTTAGTATATATAAGATTAATCCATCCTTGTTTTCACATTATTCCTAGAAAATCTCCGTCTTTATCCTCTCTGGATATTCCCTTGCTCTCAAATATTCCCCTGATTAACCGAAGTTCAGATTCTTCAGAATATCTCCTCAACCACATGTCTCCCACCCATGGCCCCCCACCATATATACCCCTCCCTCCTTCCCTATCATTTCTCCTCCCAGTTTCAACTTCGCCACTCACTGTAAAATTTGTTCTTCTGAAGGTGGTTTGAGGGGAGTGGTGATCAAGATCAGGGAGAAACATGAAGTTCTGGAAGATCCTTAGTAGTTTAATAGAAGAGACACTGCCTGATTGGCAAGACAAGTTTTTGTCTTACAAGGCTTTGAAAAAGCAGCTGAAATTGATATATCCCAAACAAGAACTCATCGATGATGATCATAATACCTACAGCAGTAACAATGATGATTGTGTTAGGCCCAGCAAACGGTTGAGATTGGAAGTTTATGATGATAAGGGCGGTGATTATGAGGTCTCCAAGGAGGTCACAGATTTTGTGAAGCTGTTGGAAGAGGAGATTGAAAAGTTTAATGCTTTCTTTGTTGATAAAGAAGAAGAATACATTATCAGATTAAAGGTATTCTATTTCTTTTCCGTTTTCATTTATGTCTTCCAATTTGATGCACTTTTTCCCCTGAATATTTGATATCTATTTGATGTATGTATAGATATTTGATTATCTGTTGTGATTGGCATACATGCATTCATGCGTTTGTAGGCGTTCTACATTTTTTTTGGATGAAAATTCTCATTTTTTATTGTCCGTTTAATCACGCATTTATGCAGCCAATGGCAGGTACACATAGGATGTGACCCCACTTTTGTAAATCTTGTTCTTTTATTTTCTTGTGTTGATCTGAAGTTTTCGAGTAATGCTGATCAAAATTGTTTTTGTGGGAAATGATTTTTCTGGAATCCTGAGGTGGGATTTTCTGGTTAGATAATGGGTTTGTCTTGGTTTCTTGAACACAGGTATTGCAAGATAGGTTAGAAGAGGCTGATGGTTCGAATGGTGATCTGATGAATGTAGGCAGACAGATAGTTGATTTTCATGGAGAGATGGTCCTATTGGAGAATTACAGTGCTCTTAACTACACTGGTATTTGCCTCTTGTCTATTTCTTACTCCTTGTTGATCTATTTTATAAAGTGGCGAATGATATGGTGCCTTTTTGACAATTAAGTTCAGTGAATTATTTGGTTTCGGATGATGACATGATAATGATAAACATCGCTACTCAAGGAGGAAATCTTATTATTGCATTCCAATGTTATGATAAGTTGTTCGTCTCTTGTCTGTGTTACCCTCTGTCATTCTAAAGTATTTGGGATCCCTGCATAGGTTCAGTCTTTCTTAATAAAGTTTAATTCTAATGCTATTTATATATCTGTACTGAGCACTTTTTTAAATGCTGAACTCTTAGAAGTAGCTTCTGCTGAAAAAGGGATAAGAAACAACAGTTGTTTAGCCTCATTGTTTGCTTTAGGTTGGAGTGGCAGATTAGTTTTTTCTTTATTATGAGCAAGCAATCAGTACGAGATATCTATCAAACGAAATCAGAACTGGGCTCCCCACTGTTTGGTCTTCATACCGCTGGGGATCTTGTGTTCCATTTCCAGTACATTTCAAGGAACTTCAGTACATAATTATAGCCGCTGACCCATTATAATTAGCAGAATTATTAGTGAGCACGTCTTTTAAATTGATACATTTGCCTATTGATGTGAAATGCCAATATGAGTAGGTGCTACAAAAGGTAGCAAGATGTGGAAGTCCTTTTAATGAAACCATTCTCAGTAATGACTTCTGAAAAAAATAACAAGAATTTTTTGGTTAATTCTAGAATGTTTTAGTTATTACATGACCAACAAAGGTGAACCTTGGTGTTTTTTTTAGCAATACATTACATACAACATTTCCAGAATGTATGATGCTGGATATTGGAAAGATATGCATCAAACATTTCAAACTGGAGGAGCTACCTGTACATCTTATTATGCAAACATACGATTACTGGAGTATGTGATGTTGTCCTAAATGGGGCACTCCCTCAGTGATTCTATGCAATTACTTACATGTGACTGGAGTTCCAATTAAATTTACTCTATATCACATGTGATGCGTTTGAAAGCATTCAACATCTCTGGGTATGAGTTAAAACCTAAAATCTCCATCTGCATCTCTTGTGCTGGTTAGATTTCTATAAGCTCGTATTATCAAGTCCAGGATCTGGCACCAGGCTTTGGTGATCCATTATTTTACCGGAGATTAGTTTGAACTAAGACTTTGAAACTTCTTTAGTGTATAGATTTGCTTGATAAATGACAAGATGTGAATTATCTATTCACTGGAGGCACAGTTGTTTAGGATGCTAGTTTCATAATCATGGTACCATGTGTTATGATCTGATTGGGATGTCAGTGATCTTTAATGATTGAAATCTAATGTCAACTTTGATTAATGCAGGACTGGTGAAGATTTTGAAGAAATATGACAAGCGAAGTGGTGCTCTAATTCGCTTGCCCTTCATCCAAAAGGTTTTGGGACAGCCATTCTTTAGGATTGATGTTCTAAATCAGCTAGTAAAGCAGTGTGAAAGAATGCTTGATTACGTTTTCTCCCTTAGTGAAATTTCTTCCCAATCTGAAGCAATCGAAGGCTGCGAAACCAACACTGCAACTGAAACTGAAGAAAGATCTCTCAAAGTTCCCCAAGAACTTGCGGAAATCGAATACATGGAAAACATGTACATGAAACTTGCTTCCTCGGCGTTGCGGGTCTTGAAGGAGATTCACAGTGGAAGTTCTACTGTAAACATGTTTTCTTTGCCACCTTTATAAAGCAACCAGTTGGGGTTACTTTGAGGGAGAACTCCTGTAGTAGAGGAAGCAGCAAAGCAATAGTTTTATGTTATATCTTCTTCTATTTCCTCTTTGCCCGTATATGTAGTTCGGAAGCTGTAGGTGGTCCACTGTTGATGAAACTTGCAGTATTGTACAGATAGATAGTGTCGTTGTTGTAAGACAGGATATTTGGGTTAATGCACTGCTCCGCTTCCTGTTATGCAATGCATTGGTGTGGTTTTTTTTTTTTTTTGTCTTTTTTGGATTCTTGGATGCATGAGCATTATCCAAAAATATGTTACACTTAATTCTGTACTTACTTCAAAGTGGCTAATCAACTTTAAGCAAAATCTGATTACTTTCAAAAGAAGTGTTCATTGTACACTATTTTACAAGTAGCTGACTTCTTCGTCAACCTACTGGTTCTTTAGGAAATTCGGGATGCGTATTCTGATTATTTCCGTTCGGATTGGTCATTTTTTCGAAAATAAGTTTTTAAATATACTATTACAGTAATACACAATAATTCAAAAAAATTTCATCCATATAATATATCAAATATTTCAAAAAATTTTTATTATATACACCGATACAGTAAAATTTTTCAAAAACACCTTAAAAAACAGTTAATCTAAACGAATTAGTTCATTGTGGCATTCGGTAACTTTCAGTTCTTTTTCCTATGGAAAATGCGATTGGCCACCAATCGAAGCGCCTGTAGCTCAGTGGATAGAGCGTCTGTTTCCTAAGCAGAAAGTCGTAGGTTCGACCCCTACCTGGCGCGCCTGGTTATCTCTGCCCAAGGATATCTTGTGGCTGTTATTTTGCTGCATTACTTTTTCATCTGGTACTACCGCTTATCAGAAAGTGAACAAGGAATGCATCATTTCATGATCAACCTACCCTATAACCTCCACGGGCAGTCAATTTCTATTTTTTCATTCTTTTCACACATCTTTGGCCTTTTATCTTCCTCTTTTTGCTATCCCTATTTAACGCCTTGTAGTATTTGACATTGTCAAGCACAACTTTTGTGTGGATATACCACCCTGCCAGAAAATGTCTATTGTGGATGAATCACCAGGTTACATGCAAGTTCTTTCTGATGGTTCTGTGAAGCGATTTGCACCAGAAACTGCTACTGCATCAACTGAATCATCTAATGGATACAAATCCAGGGATGTGGTAATTGACTCATCAAAACCCACCACAGCAAGAATATTTCTTCCTGATGTTTCTGAATCAGTAGCTGGCCAGCTCCCAGTTTTGGTGTACTTTCATGGTGGTGGATTCTGCATTGGCTCAACTACATGGCTGGGGTACCATCATTTCCTGGGAGATCTGTCAGCTGTATCTAAATCAATTGTCCTATCTGTAGACTATCGCCTTGCTCCAGAAAATAAGCTCCCCATAGCTTATGATGATTGTTATAGCTCACTAGAATGGCTAAGCAACAATGCAAGTTCTGAACCATGGCTTGAAAAGGCTGATCTTTTACGTGTTTTTCTCTCCGGTGACAGTGCTGGAGGCAACATAGTCCACCAGGTTGCTGTCAAAGTGATCAAGGACAAAGTTTCTCGTGTCAGAATCAAAGGATTGATCCCAATCCATCCTTACTTTGGGAGCGAAAAGAGGACAGAACTAGAAATGGCTGAAGAATCAGCAGGCCATGTGCAATCAAATGACATGTTCTGGAGACTAAGCTTGCCAGTTGGAGAGAACCGTGACTACCTTGGATGCAACTTTGAGAAAACAGAACTTTCTGGAAGTGAATGGGATCAATTTCCTCGAGTGCTGGTCTTTGTCGCAGGCTTAGACTTTCTGAAAGAAAGGGGAGTCATGTATGCAGATTTTTTGCAGAAGAAAGGTGTTCAAAAAGTGAGCCTGATCGAAGCTGAGGGGGAGTCTCACGTCTATCATGTATTTCATCCCAAATCAGAGGCCACTACATTGCTTCAGAAGCAAATGAGTGACTTTATGCATAGCTTTTAGAGTCTCATAAAGCTAGAATATTCGTCAAGTCTTCTGAGCCGCATAAAAATGTTATGATGAAGACATTCATGTTAGCAATCACAGGCTGCGTGCTAAACTGAATCAGGCTCTCGAATTTTTAGCAGTTAAATAAAGATTGTTTTAGCGTCCATAGATTCTCGATCCTGAAACATTTGCTGTCAAGAAAGCAAAAGCTTGCAAGCACAATACACAATCGATGCCCCCAAGTGAATTAGAATCTTAACACTACGTAGATATACTTTCTCAAACTCTTGACAGAACAAGAGAATTATCACCATTTGTACGAGGGTCCCTTTCGGAACGTTCTTCAATTCTTCTTCTTCTTGAAAACATAACACAGGCATACATGACTCTGTGATAATTGATAAAGAAAAGTAGCCAGCCACCTATCCCTGCACTAAATAATTACATGACCTGAATTTATCCCTTTAATCTTCTCCTTTGCATTCTAGAACATGTTCAAGCAGACAAGGACAGCATATATTGCAACTGTGAGCATATTTTGCATTGTGCCCTTGTATATTGGATGTAAGCTTCCAATTTCAAGTGTCAGACGAGGTCATGAAGCCTCCAATGAAGCCAGCTCCATTGCAATTTCCACATAGCATATTCTTCTTTCCCCTACACAAGAAAAGCACCATCAGGCTGCATGCAACCAATAACTTGTCCCAAAGGAGAGGACAGGTGAACGCAACCTTACAAAAGATGAATTTCCTGCTTTTTTTTTTTTTTTACACTACACAAATACTTCTTGAATTCGATAGAAACAAAATTTTCATATCCAACTACATATTCGTTTTTGATTGTAACAAATCATCAAAGTTAGGGAAGATGGCATTATGATCTGAGGCACAGATACCGCTGAAAACATAACTCGTTACCCGCAAAGCCAACAAGAATCACCAGCTTTAAACTTCCCGTTGAAATAATCAGCAGAGTTCACCCCATTACCCTTGCACTGGGAGCAGGGAACTGCACCTGAAAATCAACACTAAACTAATTGAATGGTGAGAGTTGCTATGTTTTTTCTCCCCTTTTTTTTGGGTAAATTATGTTCTTTTATCAAAATTAATTTGCAAATTTCACCAATGATCTTTGACAGTTGCGGGTTGGAAAATCAACAGGAATTCTTCTACTGAAAACTCTCTGCTGCCATTCGTTCAGATATATCTAATTTGTCTTAGCTTAAATATTTACATGTAATTGGGAATGTATGAATTGCTAATATGCTACAGCATTCAGGATTTTCTGTGCTAGTAGGAGAACTTGTATGAACTATTGACCTCAGGCATTCCTAAAACTAAAAAAAAAAAAATTCCCCTCAGAAGACTCAAAATGTTCTTATCTAATATAGAAAAGTTCTTAAGGCCTCAACAACAAAAACTAACCATTTCCATTACAGTCTGCACATAATAGACTATTTGGTTTTCTTCGTGGTTCATCACTTGAACGCTTTGAGGCTGAAGCCTATGCATCCAGATGAAGAAGTATCTCCTCAGATAAAAGGGCAACATACATCAAGTCCTGAAATCAGGTGATAGAAAATATGCAGCAGTACTTGCAGCTAGCTACTGCATGGTGTAATTTGCATGGTTCTGGTAGATAAGGAAAGAAAACAAAAGAAGGGTTTTTACAAGCATAGCCGGTGATGGGTACAAAGCAAGAATTGAAGCCTGGTTTTGCATGATGTTGACATTATTGAGACTTAGAAGAGCGGTGCTGTGTAAAAAAACTAACACTGACCTTAACCTTCAGAAAGCAGAATTTGCCTCCTGTGAGAATCTTCTGACTGCATAAATTGTTGGTACGAGAACCTGAGTCATAAGATGAGATAGCACATGTTAAGGATTGGAGGACCAGAGTGCTGAGAAGTGAGCTTTTCTGCAAACATAAACAACAGGGAGGAAACCAAACTTTGCTTCTGTGTGGAGGTAAAGCAGCTAATTGGTTGAGGAGAACAGGGGGTTGCAGCCATTGACGTGGTGAAAGAGGAAGAGAGGCTGATTGATATTTCTTCCCCAGTGGTTATGAACCTCCAATGGCAATAGGGAAATTCAGGACTCCAGATATTTTGATTATATTCATACCTCATCCCCATGTGGAGTTAAAATGTCAGTAGCGCAGGGAAGGATCAGCCATCAGGACTAGATATTTTTTGATAAAAAATGAGTCAGAAATTCCGCTTCTTTTTATCCTTTTCTAAGTCACGAACAAAACAAAAAGGTAAAGGAAAAATCAATTCTAGCCCTGTGAATTAAACAGACAAAATTAAATTTTCTTCATCCTGTGACAATGGGGGTACGAGACTATTTATGTTCACATATTTTTTCTCCTATTATCTTTTTGCTTTCTGAATAGAATGTTTACAAGAGAAAGACTCGAATACATAATACAAATCCTATCAATTTATATATAATGTTCGAGCTATTGAAAGCAGGGGAAAGACAAAACCCCATTCGAATGCTAAATTCCAAGTTTCTTGAAGTTTTCTTCCTAAACTAGCACGACATGCTGGACCCCATCAACAATAGCGCCCAGAATAGTAATACTAACAGCGGTAGCTGGCCGAGATTGAAGAGAACAGCCATTGCCAGCTTTCCAAATGCGATACACCGTGACAGAAAAAGACAAGGAAGGCCCTTAAATTTATGAGCAAAAGATTTTCCAACCCAATGATGAGTCCCACCCACTACGACTCTTCTTCCAGATCGTACATGCCCTTAAAAGTAAGGCGGCACATATGGGAGTAGACGGCCTTGGATTGTTTGTTTCCGTCGGAAAATATTGGGAGTATTTGGATATAAAATTTATTTCAAATAATATTTTGCTCGCATCATAAATATATTTTTTAACCCACCTTTTTATATTTCCAACCACTTTTTTATCTCACATACATCACATCACAAAAAGTGCTACAGTAATTATTTCAAATAATATTTCAAATAATACCCTATCCAAACAAACCCATTATCATTTTTCGTGATCACATTTCCCTATCACCTTTTTCCCTCACGTATATCAAATCGCTACAGTAATTTTTCCATGAAAAATGACGAAAAATGCAATCCAAACACAACCACTATATTTTTTTTACCAGCATTGTCCTATTCTACTGAGAAAGAGAGTCTGGAGAGACTGTATAAGGAGCTAACAAATATATTAATTCAACTAAATTAAAGGGGTGCTCTGGCGCTATTTTTGAATTTTTTTCACTATACGTGAGATTTGAACCTTCGACCTACCCTTTTTTAGGGTCACTGAGCTTTGGCTCAGTAGTTAATAGAAAAGAAGGTTTTCAAACGAAGGGAAACTATAAGTTAGAACATCGGCAAGTTACAAAGGACTTTTTAATATTTAATCATATTATTTATAACAGCATTTGTATAGGTGAATTATTTCACATAATTTTTCGTTTGCATCATAAACACATTTTTCAACCCATCTTTTTATATTTTTAATTATTTTTTTATTTCACATGTATCATATCACAAAAAAATATTACAGTATTTATTTCATATAATCTAGATCCAAACACATATTTCACATAAAATCGTTAGTTTAGACAGTTTTTGTTCAATTTTCAATTTAGTTAAAATCACGAGATACTAAAATGTAGATTTTCGAACTATAAGAAGTTAAGTTGAACATTTGACAAATTACAAGGAGTTTTTTTTAGTATTTAACCCAAATATAATCAATGAAGGCACTTGTTCAGTTGTTTAAATTTCTTCCTCTTTTAGTTCAATTTGTGGTATCTCTTTTATCTTTCTTTCAAGTTTTAGGGGTGCGTTTGATAAAACTGAAACATGAAAATTGAAATCTAAACCCATTAAATTACTGAATTGTTAAATACTAAATTTGATATATTTGAGTGCATATTACATTAAATGATCAATGAATAGCCTATAATTTATTTTTGGAGCAAAATTTATTTAGAAAATTCAATGTTACTTAATGAATTCAGATATTATAGTTTTGGTTATCAAATGCGTTTGAATATGTTAAGATCTGAACATATTAAGTTTAAGTGTTGAACTAGATTATCAAACATGATCCATTTTATTAAATTTGATTTCATATTCTCACTTGCCATCGTGCAAGGGGAAAAAAAGGACGCAAATGCAATACAAGTTACTAAAATGAAGAAAGAAATGCCAACTACACAGAGTATTATGTTATCTCATCTTAATTATAACTGGTTCCTTATTATAGCTCTAAAACTTAGCAACTTTTCTTTTCTTTTTTAGTCAATTATACTAGCAACGACAAACTCAACTTTCAAATTTCACCTTGGCTTGTGTGAAAATCCATAAAAGAAATTTACAAAATCCATCTCACAGGACAAAAACAAAAAGATTCCAATTATTATTACATCCAAATTAACACCTCTTTTTCCTTTTTTTTTTTTTTTTTGGCAATGAACCTCATAAAATATATATGAAATAAACAAAAAAATTTTTATTTCCATTTATTTCTTCCCACGAAATTCAGGTAAATATCTTGTAGCATCCCCACCAGGCTACCACAACAAAGCGACAGTGTCGTAATTGTTAAGAACTACGGAGGATAAAATCGTCCAGAAATACGAGTCTCCAAACTCACCAATCTCCTATTTAAACACCGTCACGCCTCCGTTGGAAAACCCTATCACTCTCTCTCTCCCTCACAGCCTCTTTATCTTTTCCCTTTTTGTATTTTTTTTTTCATTTTGCCCCCTAACAGTTTTCTCTGCAGACGCTCCTAAACCCTAACCCTAACTTCCCCAAAATCAAGCTCAACTCTCCACAGATTCAACCGAGGTAAACAACAAATCTTCACCTCCTTCAAAAAGCCTAGAATTTCGTAGGATATCTCCGGCAGCTTGCGAATTAATCTCATAAAAGTGCTCGATTATGATTTTAAAATCGAATTTTTTAGATGCGATCTGAGTTCCTTTTTCCGGAATTTTTTGTGTCTGCAGCTAAAAAAGAGCAGCCTCAAAATAATGGGAGAGACAAAGGAGAACGATGCTTACGAGGAGGAGCTTCTCGACTATGAGGAAGATGATGAAAAAGCCCCCGACTCCGTCTCCGCCAAAGTCAACGGCGAGTCCGTTAAAAAGTCAGTTCGTTTACCTCAAATCTCAACCTGTTAGAACTAGATTTGTGTAGTTTTATCCGCTACAAAATTTAATTTGAGTTTTGTAGCCGTAGATGTCTCGATTTGCCAATATCAGTTTTGAGTTTTCCGTTTTTTCGTTGCTTGTGTTTGGGTATTTTGTTTTGGTCACAAATCGATAAATATTCTTGTGGATTTGTGTTTGTTTTTCTAGGTTAGTTCAAGGTTTTGTTAGGCTTGACTTGGCAAGAGTTATGGATCCTTGCTGACTATCCCCCCCCCCTAACAACAACAAAAAAACAAAAAAAAAAACCACCACCAAAAACAAAGGAGAGCAGTAGCTCTTCTGTTCACAAGTTTCATGATTTGTAGTTTTTGGTTAGTCACACGTTTGGCTGACAAATAACCTATAGCTTTAGGTTTTTTGTTGACTTTGTACCTGCCCTGATCTAGTAAAATGTTTTTCGTCCTGGTGTCGAAGGCTGTCTTTGTTTTTACTTCACGGGTAAATGTAGGGAGACACAGAAGAATGGTAATTTTATTGACTCATCCTGTTCATCTTTTCCTCCCCCTGTGCAATTGAGCTTACTTGGTGGAGGGTACTGAATTCAATAAAAGATGGATCTTTTGGTTGTTGCTGCTTTCTTTTGGTTTATTCAACAATCCGTATAGTTGAAGTTACTTTTTTTGACATTTTGTGAAGTATTGAATTTTTCTAGGATCACAAAATGAAGTGCTATTAAGCTTCAGATTTTGTGGTCCTTGTCTTTGAGATGGCCTTTATTGGAAGCAGCTGAAGTTTGAGTGATATGTTTTTGACATATTGTGAAGTATCTAATTTGCTTGGACCATGAAATGGGATGTTTATCTTTGGCCTGTATTCTGGATAAAGCTTGATCTTTATCACATATTAGTTAGATAGAACCAATTTTGTTTGCTGCGTGTTCTGCTGTTTCTGTTGTAATTATGAAGTTTGTGTGTTTATGATCATAATCTAAGATTGGTGATGGTATGTTTGCAGTCATTTGCAACAAGTGTTGGATTTGTAGACCATGCCTGTCATTTATATTGGAATAACATGTTTATGTAGCTCTCTCCAAGCTTTTGCATGTTTTGCACGTGTAAAAATTTGTGTCTTACCAAGTTGTTAAAATTTCTTACTGCAGAGGCTATGTAGGTATCCACAGCTCCGGATTCCGGGACTTCCTACTGAAACCAGAGCTTCTGCGTGCTATTGTGGATTCTGGGTTTGAGCATCCTTCCGAAGGCAAGTTACAACCATCTCTTTGGGTGTTTGGGATCTTCTACATCCTCATAATGCAGAGATTCGTTGTCTCCATGGTTGACTTTTGTGCTCTTGCTAGTGTCAAGTCTGTCTCCCTCTTAAATAAATAAAGAGATGTCATATTCTTAGGATTGTATGTAAACAGACAATAAGGAGGCCATATTAAGGTTTGATACCTTTCATGGCAGTGAACCTTGGTTCTTCTTGTCTGGCCGTGAACAAGTATGAAGTTACAGCCCAGTGTTCGTATTATCTAATTGAGGTCTGACAGTTCAAATCAGTGCTTAACTATGCCTCATGAGATGCGCCAAGTAATTTAACTTTGTGAAGATATTTTTTGGAAACATGAAGGATGATGAGGGAAAATTGAAATTATTTTTTATGTGCTGGCCTTTCCTTTCTGCGCTGGGAGCTGTGCAGAATTAAGTAACAAGCGGACATGGAAGAAGTTGCTGCTACTAAGTATTCACAAGCTTGCTTAGCTAATGGGGCTTTTATGGTTGCAAAATGCATCTTCTTGTGGTAGCTGCGGAAGATTTTCTTTATAGATATTTGTTGATTGATGGTCTGAAGTCAAAAGCCCATGTCTTTGGAATTTGGGTTTTTTCACATCCTCTCGAGTGAGTGGAATATCTATGCTTGTGTGTCCTTGGTTTACATGTGGCTTTTCTTGTCCTCCTGGCAGTGGAAGCGCCTGCAAAGGTCTACAAGCAAGAGCATATAACTATGGCCTATTGATTTAAAACACGTTTATTATGATGAGTAGTGTCTATTTCCTGGCCCCTTGATTCAAGGCTTTATGGTTTACCTTTTTCTGGCTAGTCAGAAAAATCTTTGTTGCCATTTTTGAGTTTAGCTAGTTCCTACAAGTGATAAAACTCCCTTTGTGTGTCTATCTGAGGTTATCTTACGTGTATCCGGTTTTTGCTTTTCAATAATGGCTTATCTGATTTGGCTTCATCCATCCACTTTTAAGCTGTGTCTAACAGACTATTGACTTTGTTTTTCTCAGGTAAATCACTAGTACCACTCCTGTTTTGGAGAAGTAG